TCGCGGTGCTTGAGGGCATAACCCACATGTACTGCAATACACAACATTGAGAAATGAGGATTTTGCCTAGATGATTATGTATTAAAATTATAAACATTAAAATTTCATATATGTATAGTAAATATAAAATAATTACATAGTATATATATATATAGTATATATAGTAATATTAGTACATATGGTAATGTTGAGTGATGGTAACTGATTATTGAAGGATGAAACGTGACAGAAAAACGTAGAGATGCGACAATTGAATTTAACTCACGCATTACAAAGTTCCGAGCGCCGCGAGCATATGTAGTTCGTAGTTCAAATCGCAAAAGGCGTAATGCCTCCCTATTGGAAAAGCGATAGGCAATCGAAATTGATATAGCACGGTGTAGCGAGAGTAACGCGAAAACGAGTAACATGATTAAAAACGCGAACGCGGAAGGCCAACACCCGAAGCTTGTTCGGAGATATAAATTAATTAAAAGCGAGCGTGTGTATAAATCTCGAGCACAGTGTAACTACATACAGTAGCGACAGTACGAGCAAACGAAGGGTTCAGTTTTGTTCTGCGCATGCGTTGATTGTAAAATCAAGAATATAGCGGACTGTCATAGTATTAAAACTGTGGCGACGACGATTGAGACACAATAAACTATGATTGAGAGCTAAATGAATTTTGTGTATAATTACACATATTAAGATGAATAAAATAGGTGGAATCTCTTGACTATCGAATTTATTCGTATCCATATCTCTATTCTCCGGGTTTTAGAATAGAACTCATTGAAGCTTAATTCTGTAATTTTCGCGGAAATTGTTTTTTTTTGTTTTCATTTTTGTATGCGGCAACTATTAAATTTCTTACCCACTTTAAATGTTTTGTTAACAATTACCATACGTTAATAATGCGTTAATTCTGGCTGAAATTTGACCTGAAAGGGTTTGAAGAGTGATACTTTTCAAACAGGTGTCATATCATCAAATGGATTGTAGCACCATCCCAAAAAGATTTACCAGACTTATCGAACCACCCTCGTATTACAATAATTAAATAAATATTTTTCGTTGTCTCTAACTTATATCCTAGAGAGCACAAATTTGGATACATGTCCAAAACTGGGGGGGGGGGGGGATAAAATGTCTTAAAAATTTATGTTGGCGTTTTAAAAAGATCTTAAAGACGTTTTATGTTCCAATTTTAATTGTTCCCAATTTTTATTAATTGTTTTATTAATTGTTTACGATTTTCCGTGAGCAGTATATAGTGCATTTATAAACGTGATCCAGAAGAACTCGACGTGGCCTCGCGCGAGAACAGAATGTTGGAAATTCCATAATCGAATTCTGCTTTTTTTCCCCTTTTCGTAATTTTTTTTCTGAAATAAATAACAGCTATTAGTAAATATATTAAGCCAAATACATTTTTGTATAATTATTGAAATTATACTTTTAAAAGTTTTTAAAAAACAATTGTAGGAAAAATACCGAATGAGATTATTCAAAACAGACAAATGAAAAATTATTTTTTAATTGCATAATAATAATTTTTTAATTGTATAACATATAAACGTTTTAATTTCTATATTATAAAATGATATTGGCGTCATCCTCTCTCTCTCTCTCTCTCTCTCTCTCTCTCTCTCTAATTTATATTAAATATTAAATATAATAAAAAATATGTAAGAGTCTAAATTACAAATTTTATGTTGAGAAAAATAAAGTGTATTACATAATAAAAATTATTATATTATAATTATATTATAATTGATTACAATCATTACATATGAGGAGGACCTAATCGAAAGACCGAAACAATAATAACTAATAATTTTATATTATAATAATTTTAATGGATTACAATATAATGATTTTTATTATGTAATATACTCTATTTTTTTTTAACGTAAAATGTATAATTTAAACTCTTATGTCCTTCATTATATTTATTGTTTATTGAAATCAAGAGTCTTTTGTTCTTCAATCTATCAATTATAATTATATTAATCGTCTCATTTTCATAATTTTATTCATGATCATAATTTTTATACATTTGGATGATGTTTCTCTATTTATACACTGAAAAAAAATTGGTTATACAAACAAAATTTTTATGGTTGATTTATCCAATCATTCATTCAATCATTATTTAATTGCAAATATATAGTTTATTATGTCAACTATCTAAGTTGAAATGACTAAACTGACTCAACTAACTTATTTTGATAGAAATACTAATAGAATTTATTTAATTTTGCATCGCATTTAGTTACTTTCCGTAATATATTTATTTAAATTCGAAGTATCGAATTGATTAAACAATGCCGAGAGAATTGATAAATATTGTGTATTTTCAACCAAACGATGAAGTTAGATATGACAAAACAATTTTGTTAAAACAAACAATAGATTTCGTCAATTTTTAATTTTTAAAAGTAACAAAAATGCAAAAGTTTTTGTTATATTTAAAAATTGAAGTTGACAAATTTATGATTGTTTCAAAAAATATTCTATCTAATTCAATCGTTCGGTTAAAAATATACAATATTTTATCAGTTTTATTTAGTTGAAGGAAACACGTCGAACAGTTGATGTTATACAATGATGTAATATTTAATCATTTCTTTAGAGAAAAATAATATTCATTTTTAATTAAATGTATGAATCAAACGAATTTTTATTTAACCTAGAAGATTATAATAAATTATCAATTTAGTTAATTTTGAATCGCATTTGATTCATCCATCAAAAAGTTTTGTTCATCTTCCAAAACAACAGTAGATTTGTCAACTTCAATTTTTAAATATAATAAAAACTTTTGTATTATCTTCAAAAAGTAGCAACGTCAATAAGCTGACGATTAATCGGAAATTATTAATATATATACAATACATTTCTATCCCTTTTTTTATATTATATTTTTTTTTATTTATTTTATTTATTATATATTATATTGTTGTTTTTTTTTATAAAAGTTAAAAATAAAAAATAAAATTTTTTTTTAGTTTTTTTTAATCCCGCATATCCGTATCATACTAAGAATATAATAATATTAACGCAATTACGTTGATTTAAAGATGCGATTAGTCTAATAATATAAAAATAAGAAAAATGATAAAAGGTTCACATAATACTTATAAATCTACGTTGGTATATGTGTAGGGATATACAAGGTATAAAATATATAAAATGTCTTAATATAATCATCATAAGGACGAAGGTATAGATTTATGTTATTATAGAGTGTCAGGTATTGCTGGCGCGTCGCAGGCCGTGATTGGTACGCGATAACTTATTCATATTCTGAGAGATTACAGGCATTTCGATCAGATTAGTTTTTCTTAAACTTGTGAAGGATGACAATGACATGACAGTCCCCCCCACATATGGGAACAATTTCTTAACTCCGCATGGAGTTACTCTGCCTGGAATTTCATCGCAATACATCGGCACACGGCACGCGCCTCACGGCACGCGCCTCACGGCACGCGCCTCACGGCTTGCTTCGATTAGCTCAAGCGACACACGTGTCACGCGGTGCCGGCATGACAGAATCATACTACATCAAATAAGTTTCTCGCTAGGATTATCAATTAATTAATAGAAATATATTAGATAAACGACTGTGAGATTAAATAACAAAAATAATTTAGCGCGAAACGAAAAGATAAAAAAAGAAAGTAAAAAGTACAATTTCACGTATTATCTATTCAAATAAATTTTTGCCAAGTGAAGATAAATCACTATGAAATTCACGGATTTCACAGTTTCGGTGAATTCAGTCACTTTTTATCGTTATATAATGCTGCTCTTTTATCGCGTGGATTCGTTTCAAAGTTTCAATACGGAATTGTACGGAGATAAAGTAATATTTCTGTCATTGAAGTTGTCTTTCTTTTTTTTGCATAATTTGTAATACTTTACATTACGTGAGAATCTTTATAAAATATTCACAAACAGATACTTCAATAAATAATCGCGACAGATGTGACCCGATGTGACGATAATGTCATACGAACATCGCACGTAGTATCCTATTAATGCCTCGTGCTGTTGATATGTGTACGACCATGCATCTTCCCTGATGGATTTCGTCTTCCGTAGAACGCACTCCAAATCAGCGTAGACGATGAATGAGACGCGTTCCTTATTGCAGTGGTTCCCAAATTCGAGCCACTTGTCCACGCTCGGCAGTCGGATAGCGCAGTCGTTCATTTTCCTGCGAAAAAGAAATAAAAAATTATAACTATTACCATTAATTTATTAGTAAGACGAAAAATTATAATTTTTTCATGTGTACCGATTGCAAAAAAATTTCTTCTTCTTGTCCCTAGTAATTTGCGATCTCACGAAACAGGATAGATTTTTTATCCACGCAAAATGCCCATCGTCGTCGCGTGGATCTTGCATGTACAGCATGTGACGTATTTCTCCTTCTTATTACTAGTAAGCCACAGACTCGTTTATGATACCGTACACGTTGATTGACACCACGTTTAAACGTTCAAATTTAGAAATGTCTTTTAAAGTTACTGGAAATTTTATACCCGCAAGATTCAATACTGTCCTGTAATGCGGATACGATAATTCTCGATCCGCATTTCTTTCAGTCTAGTATAGAGCGACGACCACGCGAAGTACGTACTGTCCGTCGTACGCACATTGATCACTGCTCGTTTCGTCACTATTTGTCGCAGCATTTCGATATGGCATCCTGGGATTTAGTTTGTTCACATTGATAAATCAAATTCAATATACGTGACAATGTCCACCCGCAGTCGCGTTCCTGGAACTCATCGAGTGACGTCAACGTGGGCTCGATGACGTACCACTCGCGCAAATCAGTGTATCGGTATATCTCAATGTTCTTAGTATTTATATTCTTAATGTCACGTTTGTTGTTCGTCGTAAACTCACTGTTGAACGCGATATTCACTTTTACACTACCGTGTCTTTCTATAGCATCTCAAGCATTATTTCTCTCGCGTTTTCCAAAAACCGTCGCGGCTTAATCCGAGTTAACCACAACGGCCGTCAATGTACGACTTTCAAACACGGCGTCGATCTTTCGCCAAATAAGAGATCTTTCGTCGCGACTCGAGTATTCGCCATTCGCGTATCCGCCACCAACATGCACGAAATGTCGCTCTAATTGTCTTTGCACTCGCGCGATCCTCGCCACCACGGATTGTCGCAGTTGCAGCCACACGAAACTCTCTACCAGAGTAGCGACCTAGCCGCATTGCTCCAGCAGTTCGCGTTCCACTCGCTCATGATTTTCCATGTTTTTTTTTTACAGTCTTTAGATCATGTCATTCTTCCATGGAGCACTTGCTCGTTGATACGCGTTGTACCACTACGATATATCTAGAATATCATAATACGTAATAACGTTTTAACACGTTATCATTGTTTGTTTGAAAAAGTGCTGTTCATACTCAAAGCATTGATCATCGTATCTATCGAAACAGTTTTAGCGCAAGATTCTTACCGCGATCATAAAACATCCATATATTATCAGCCATATATGATCAATAATCAGTAGTTCGACGCACTTTTCATTACCCGCGGAAATCTTAATGCACATGTACCAACGCTGTCTTATCTTATCTGCGATTTTTTTCGCCCAATAATAATCGTCCAAGTAAATGTTGTCACAGCTGAGACGCCATGTTACACTAGAAAATTATACTAGAGAATTACGAAAAGATATATTGAATATCCCTAGTCACATTTTTGGTGAGCATAAACGATGTAAGGAATGTGGTCATAAATGTGAAGATGACTGTGTAATGAAGAAAAACTACGTATCATTTCTAAAACTGCACGATCTCTATCCGAAAATAGAGGCTACTGTTACAAATTTAGCCGCTCACTCCAATAGTTTGTTATTAAATGTAACAAATAATCTTGCAGAATCGTTTAATTCTATAATCTGCAAAGAAATTGGCGTATTAATTTTGACACAAACGCGGCTCTTACAATGCTAGAATTGCGGGAACCATTCTACAATACGCAGAAACATTCTACAATACTCTTACATATTATAGATACATGAAGGCATGAATAAAATTGTTTCTGCTACTGTCAAGAAACTAGAGAAGCGCCCGCAAATAAAGGTTGCTAGAGCCAGAGAATATCGACAAACAAATGGAAAACATAAGAAATGCAAACGAGAATCAGGAACAGATTGTCATTATGTTCTGCAATCGCAACAGCCAGATTTTCCAAATGATGTAATGAAACAACTTCAGCAAAATTATTTAGAGAAATTGTCTAAAGATGGAAAAAATTAGAAGCAGATTGAACGGGATATGATAGATCAAAGTGATTCCGAATCACTAAGACAACAAAGGTTGACAGCGTCTAAATTTAGAATCGTATGTCACAGTATGAGATCGACAACATTATTCATTGATTATGAATATCCGTAACTGGATGCTTCTCCTGATGGACTTATAGACGAAAATGGTCTAGTGGAGATAAAATATCCTCTATCAGCTAAAGATTTAACAGCAGAAGAAGCTATACAAACATTGCTTTTCTTGAAAAATATCTTTGATAAAAGAAATTCAAATAAAATGAATTTGACTCATCGATATTTTTATCAAATCCAATGGCAATTGAACATAGCACAGAGAGATTATTGCATTTTTGTTATATGCTTTGTCATATGCCAAAAAGCTTAAAAATGATGCGTATTGATAGAGACGATGTTTTTTGGAAAAATCAAATGCTACTTCGGCTAACATGCTTTTATTTGGAATGCATGCTTCCAGAACTCGTGCATAGTCGCATAACAGGCATACACCTATCACGGAATCTAAATATATTCTAGAAGCGAAAAAAAAGCAGCAAAAAAAATTTCCATATATGTATATAATAAATAAAAAATTCTATGCATAAAAGTATTATTATATGATTATAAAAACTATAATGTTTACATTGTTTACAAGGTATTTAGTATTTCATGTCAAAGTGTATCAATATGTATAAAACATCTCATAAATTATTAATTTTTCGATAGTTTTATCTTTATTTTTATAATACATGTTTTACATCCTGATGAAAATTTGCTAAAAAATAAAGACATATTAATTGGTAGAAACGGGCATTAAAGTGATAGATTCAGCATCGATAAGTCAGGTCGCTACTATGACGAATTAATGCGTACCGTGCACGCATGTTAGTAGTGATCTAACTTATCAACTCGTTATCGATAGGTTAGATTGCTACTGACATGCGCAAGTTATGATCCTGTATCATTAATAGAACAAAAAGAAATTTAAGAGAAGACATTCGGTCTTTTACCTGTAGTGGTATAGAGTAGCAGTCTTATTTATACTACTCGATGTTGAGTTGTATTGGATGCAGCGAAAAGTGACTCTAGAATGCATTCAATAATTCAGGATTTATTATTTTATCCTCGTTGTTTACTGAACGTTAATAAGGTTAAAATGATCTCTGGATGCATCCGGATAAAATTTCTGAACGTAGTCCTATGTTGCACGTACACAATTTGAGTTTGAGCTAGAGATAATGTAGAAAACGGAATAAAAATGTCGGTAGCACCGACAGTTTATTAGAGAGCGTTTTCTCGTCGGAGTTCGGCATTTGCTTTATCCCCTTAAAGATTAATAAAATATGTATATATGTATGTAAAACATGTGATACTACTATTAGGCTCGTTTCAATGTAGATTAACTTTAATCTCGATTTAATTGATTCTTCATCTTTTTCACCGACGAGATATTAAAGATCGATATCCTTATGGAAATTCGCGTTCTTAAGAATAATGAAGTGATTAAGAATTAAAAACTGATAATATTGAATTAACTTATGATTATTAATTTAGTAGATGTATTTATGAATTTAGAACTTAATAATACTCGATTTTTCTTTAAAATTGTGATTTCAGTGTTATCGTCAGAGATGGATTATTAACAAAAGATAATAATTGCAGAGAAAAGATTATAATTTTTCTGTAATATTAGGTGTAGTAAAAAGAAATCCATTATTTTTCCAATAGATGACTTTAGTAATCTGTATCACGCGTAGACGAGATACAGATTACTAAAGCCATCTATTGGAAAAATAATGAATTTCTTTTTACTACACCTAATATATAGGATATTATAATTTTACAAATATGCATATTTATTTATAGAACACATATAATAAAAAAATCATGAATTTAATAATGCATGAGCCAAATATTTATGTTAATAATAGCAAATTTATATCAATTTTCAATAATGTCGGCGTTCTTTAATTATCTCCGGGCCCTCGAGTCCTTTTTATATCGTCGATTTTCGCAAAGTTGACGGTCTTTAATAGAATCTTTAAATCTCGTCCGTGTTTTCTTCTTATTCTTAAAACTAGGAAAAATTGAAGAATTAATTGAACTAAAACTAAAGTTAAACTGCATTTGTAGAAACGAGCATTAGCGATAGACTCAACGTCGATAAGTCAGGCCACTACTATGACCCAGCAAATTAATGCATTGCACTGAACAATGCACGCGTGTCAGTAGTGGCCTGATCGACTCAACGTCGATAAGTCAAATCGTTTATCACTCGACTCAACGTTGATAAGTCAGACCGTTTATCATTCTAATATCCATTTTTATCAATTAATATGTCTTTATTTTTTACCAAATTTCTTAATTTTTATTTTGTTCTTATCTTATTTTTAATTTTCTAGTTGCATCTAACCAAACTTTTAAATTTATAAGCAAGTAGACACAAAATTTTAATATTATAATTAAATTTTAATATAAATTTTATTATAAATATATTTCATTTGCTTTTATAATGATTGATCAATTATTTATCCAATTACTATAATTTCTAAATAATAAATTTATGATGAGATAAGTTTAATTTCGATTCAATTTTTCACCTTTTTCTAGTTTTAACAATAAGAAAAAAATGAAGAGTCAGTTGAATCAGGATTAAAGTTAATCTATATTGGTAGAAACGGGCCTAATAGTAGTGTGTATCACAAGTTTACATATATTTTATTAATCCTTAACTGGGCGCGCCTCCCGGTCAAACGTTAGTAGACGCGCGCAACAATAAGCGCCCCAACACAAATTTATTATTTAGGAATTATAATAATTGGATAAATAATTGAACAATCGTCACAAAAACTAGTAAAATATATTTATAATAAAATATAATATTATAATTTTGTATCTACTTTGTTATAAAATTAAAAGTTTGATTAGATATACCTATAAAATTAAAAATGAGATAAAAATTAAGAGATTTGCTAAAAAATAAAGACATATTATTTTGCAATCAAACAAAAAAATAATAACACTACTTTTATAAAGTAATGATATAAAATAAATATAAATAATTATAACAAACGTGGTTTATAAATCAAAACATACAAAAAGAGGAGCATAAAACCATAGCACTAGATATTGTTTGTTAAACTATTTTTTTGTTTGCAAATGAAAATCATTCCAATTACATATATTAATTTAAATATTAAGCAATATTCTGCGTTTATTAATAATATATTGTAATGCTTTCATTTATTATTGTATAATGAATCAGAAAACACAAAGATTTCGCGAATGTAAATTTCTGACATTGAAAAGCATCCGAACTAAGATCGAAACGTTTGGAGTTTATATGAGAGATTAAATAAAGGAAATACTTCACACCGAGATTCAGTGCATGGCTTACAAAGGCATTAATTCATTGACAAAAATAGTAATTATAAAAATTAATAGTAATTATAATTATTTTTAACATAACTTAAAGCTAACTTTAATCTAAAGCAGGAATTGGCATTATTAATAATATTACATATATTATTATTATTATATATATATAATATATATATATTAATATACATACTGTAATATACATAATATATATATTGTTAGTAATATTTTTAACTTTAATTAACAATTACTTAGATAATCATTAATCAAATTCGAAAATTTTTCAATTAATTGATTAATCAGTAATCACAAGGAAAAATATTTAATTAATGTTTATCTAAGTAATTATTAATCAAAACTAAAAATATTACTAATAATATATGTATAATATATGTACAGAGTCCGGCTGAATAATATGTAAAAGCGGGCACGACGTGATTCCTTATGAAAAAATAAAAAAAATACACAGAATAAAATTTTTCG